TGAGGCTGGGCTCCAGCTCTGAGGCCTCTGCCGCTGAAAGTAGGTTTCTGGCGTTTGCTTACAATGTTGCGATCCTGCTGGCTGAAGCCCAGCGGACTAAAGCAGGTTTCTGGGGTTTTGTTTAGCTTCTATATTTGTAACATAGTTGCTTCGAGTTGCAGCTCAGAGGCCGGCAGCGGCAGGTGTGGAACGTTGGAGTCCTAAGTCACTGAAGCAAGCAAGCCTCATGTTCGCTTTAAGTTGCCTGGCTGCCGGCCGCCATCTTGGCTGGAAGTTAATTTGCATATTGCCCTGATTAGCCAATAGGAAGAGTAGTGGTCGTATGCTAATTACCATGTTTCTCTTTTATTAGATAGGATTGCCAGTGCGCGTCATATGTACTGGCTGGGTGGTTGGGCAGTTGGACCGACATGTGGTTGGTCACTTAGCCTTTTATATATATAGAAGAAGATGTGTGTCATATGTACCGTCTGGTCAGTTGGATGGTCGGACAGATGGTTGGTTGGTCAGTCACTCACTTACCCTTTTATATATATAGATATATAGATTATATCTACTGCTGGATTTTTGTTGATTGCTTGAAGGAAGTAATGACTTGGGAGACAGACATGTTGTTAAGGAAGGGGTATTTTCTAGGAGGACAGGTTTTTATCCTTTGTTATGAAGTGTTCTGTTTTTGCTTTTTAGGTTTTCCTACTACTTTTATCCCAAACCATTTGACTTACTCCTGGAGTTTTATCTTTTCTCATTCCTCTATGGTCATGGTGTGCTCTCTGAATGGGTGATGCTGGAAAGCTGTGATTAGTTGTGTACATTTTAAATGTCATTAGGAAAACTGGTTTGTTGGTAGTGTGGCTACCTTTTTTTGCAGTCCTGAGGAGTCTAAAATTTCTCCCCAATTTTATAAAGGAGAACAGCCTTACCTAATTTAACAGTCACGCTATGTAACCCAGGAGAGTTACTTTGATAATGATCTGTAGCTTCAGGTTTGAAACATTCAATCCTTATACAACAATGTTTATTAATACAATGTTTATTAAAAAGCAGGATCAATATGGCTAATGAGATTTTTAACTTATATGATGCTACAGAAAAATGTATCTCTGGCTTTACACATGGTTTGTATTCTCATTTTTTACCATACACGGTGATTAAAGATGAAGTGTTGATGTTAATTTACGTCCCCGGTGATGATAAGAGGACTAAAGATATTTTTTGTTTTATTTTTGCAATTATTTTGTTGAGAAATAATTCACATAACTTTTTTTTTGTCTTAAGGTGAAAATGCGATTTTTAGTATATTTATAATGCTGTGCAACTAACACTAGCATCTAATTCTAGGACATGTCCATTGCCCTAAAAAGAAGCTCTATGCCTGTTAGTCACTCTCAACTCTCCCCTCCCCCAATCTCTGAAAACAACTGGTCTACATTCTGTCTATGGATTTGCCTATTCTGGACATTTCATAAAAATAAAATGTATTTTTTATTTTGTTTAGACACTACCAGAAGCATCTTTACCAAATTATGCCACAAATTTGAAAGATAAGAGTTCTTTAGTTTCATCTCTTTATAAAGTTATCCAGGAGCCACAAAGTGAGGTAAGTACTCTTACACTTTGTTGTATTAGAACTATTGATTGTATTAGTACAGTTGATTGATTTTTAAATTTTTATTTTGAAATATATATAAAAGAGTGAGAAACATATGTGTTTAAACAACTATAGTGTACATTATTGCCTTTGAGAAATGGGGTAGAGGGGGTAAGAGAAGAATACTTTATGTTCAAAAATGGCAGAGTAAAAAAACATTTATAATAAAATGAACTCCAGTGTACCCACCCCCAGGCCAAGAAATAAAATTATTGCCAAAATCCAAAAGCCATTTCTGAACATGTTCCTCCTTATCTCTCTCTCTGTATCTTGCTTGAGGTAGCCTAGAAAAGTCTGGGTCACTACATTCATCTACTCCTTTGGCAAATATTTGTGTTCACTATGAGCCAGCTGCAATGCTAGGCAATAGAAAATCAAAGATAAGTAGCATCTTTCAAAGATGAATAGCATTCCTCTCAAAAGAGGAAGGAGTAGAAAGTAAGTAAATACATACTTCCAAGGCAATTCTTAACTGATGCTAGTTGGATATGCTTGAATTTGCTAGGTGTGCAAGATAAAAGACCATTCCAAGCCGTAGGGATAGTTTACAGAGGCCTGAAAAAATGTAAGGCATTTAAGGAAAGGCAAGCACCGGCTGGTGTTTTCCCCAGTCCTTCTTTCTTTTCTCTTGCTTCCATCTCCTTTTCTTTCTTTTTGGTAGCAAATTTAGTTCGAAGGTGATAAAATGATCTATATTCCAGATTCTGATGCTTATAAATCCCACCATTCATAGTAGAAATAGAAAAGGGTTAGAAATAGTGTAGACAATAAAAAGGCATGGCAGTTAGAAAAAAAGCAAATACATAGGCTAATGCAGTAGTTAAGAGAGGATAAGACTGGTAGGAACTGAAGCTGGAAAGAGATTGGGTTGTAGCCATTGTGGATCTTGAAATCTGTCATAAACAGTATAGACTTTTTTTGCACTGAAGGGATGACTTGATTAGATTATTCCTTTAAGAAAGTGGCTATGTGGAGGATAGATTTGGAGAATGGAAAAATTGAAAACAAGAGAGTAGGAAGCTATTAAAATAGCCAAGGAGGGAGCTGTTGAGAACCTGAGCTGTGCCAGTTAGAATGGAAAGAGGGGGAATAGAGGGGAGGAATATGAGGCATGTGATTCTTTTGTACTTGATTTTGGTAGAAGACATGATAGGCTCTAATTACAGCCGTGGGCAAACTATGGCCCGCGGGCCGGATCCGGCCCGTTTGAAATGAATAAAACTATTGAAATAAAAGACTGTACCTTTTATGTAATGATATTTACTTTGAATTTATATTAGTTCACACAAACACTCCATCCATGCTTTTGTTCCGGCCCTCCGGTCCAGTTTAAGAACCCATTGTGGCCCTCGAGTCAAAAAGTTTGCCCACCCCTGCATACCATGAATATTATTATTACTCAGTGCTAAAATAACTTATACTTTGGAGTTCAGTCCTATATAGACCTATGTGCCTTTGGGATGAAACTATCAAAACTAGAGTCTTTAGTTATTTGAGTAGTTCACCTCTTTTGGAGGGGATCTGGAATAACTCAACTTCTGCTGAGTGTGCTATAAAGTGCATCATGAATTTTAAGTGCTGAAGGAAAGAATAGGGAGTATAGTGACAAAAATGTTAACTGGAATAACTGAATAGAATAATCATATTTTGCTTGCCCCTCCCTCCTCCCCAAAGCTTCTTAATTTGTATAGTATGTGTAAGTTGTTTCCTTGAAGAGTTTTAGTTTTTAATGTTTGGGTAAAAACTGTTTTAAAGTTTTCCATATTTAATTGAGAATTATTTCACCAAGTAGAGTAAGTATAGCTATGTGCTTTATAATTTTTTTTTAGTATTTTATTGATTTTTTACAGAGAGGAAGGGAGAGGAATAGAGAGTTAGAAACATCGATGAGAGAGAAACATCGATCAGCTGCCTCCTGCACATCCCAAACTGGGAATGTGCCCACAACCAAGGTACATGCCCCTGACCGGAATCGAACCTGGGACCCTTCAGTCCGCAGGCCGGTGCTCTATCCACTGAGCCAAACCAGTTAGGGCTGCTTTATAATTTTTTAAGCAAGTTAAATCTTATTTATCATTTTGTGCTTAATATTTTAAAAGACTTAAAAATTATTTTTCTGATGAACTGTGTTTTAACCAGGCTACTTTGGATTGAGTTTGTAAGGTAAATTTCTGATAGGCTAGTTTGGTTCATAGCATTTCTTTTATTCAAATTAACAGTGAAAACAGCTCTAATCGTTCATAGCACTATTTCTCAAACTGTGATGAAAGACCAGATTTTAAAAGTTTTCTAATATGCCACAGAATATGTATACCTAATGGTCATGGTGAACATGCAACTCACATCACATGTGAGGTCCCATGCAGATTTGATAAACCCTAACTAATCTATACTCTGAATAAATCTGCTGATCACCCACTTAGATGTTGGAGCATTATCAAGTTGCGATAAAAGTTTCTTCCTTTTAGTTTCTGTATTTATATTGTTGGGGACTGATAACAGTTTGTTGATGGTTTTCAGTCCACGGACCACACATTTAGAAGCACTGATTTAGGAGGTTTTGCATATAATTTTGTTTTATGGTTTTTGCCTGATTAATGTGGTAAAGGTAGTGTGTAATCTGTATTTTTTTAAAATTCTTTATTGTTGAAAGTATTACGTATGTCTCCTTTTCCCCCCATTGACCTCTCACCAGCTGTTCTCATCCCGCAGGATATGCCCTCATCCCCCTACAGTCTGTGACCATGGGTTATGCTTATATGCATGCATACAAGTCCTTTGGTTGCTCTCTTACCCTCCCTCCCCCCCACCCTGCCTTCCCTCTGAGGTTGGATAGTCTGGATCTATTTTTGTTCATCAATTTATGTTGTTCATTATATACCACAAATGAATGTGATCATGTGATATTTATCTTTTTCCAACTGGCTTATTTCGCTTACCATAATGCTGCCCAGGTGCATCCATGCTATTGCAAATGGTAAGAGTTCCTTCTTTTTTACAGCAGTGTAGTATTCCATTGTGTAGATGTACCACAGTTTTTTCATCCACTCATCTGCTGATGGGCACTTAGGCTATTTCCAAATCTTAGCTATTGTAAATTGTCCTGATGTGAACATAGGGGTGCATATATCCTTTCTGATTGGTGTTTATATTTCTTGGGATATATTTCTAGAAGTGAGATTACTGGGTCAAATGGGAGTTCCATTTTTAATTTTTTGAAGAAACTCTATACAGTTTTCCACAGTGGCTGCACCAGTCTACATTCCCACTAGCAGTGCACGAGGGTTCCTTTTTCTCCACATCCTTGCCAGCACTTGTCGTTTGTTGATTTGTTGATAATAGCCATTCTGACAGGTGTGAGATGGTACCTCATTGTTGTTTTGATTTGCATCTCTCAGATGATTAGTGACTTTGAGCATGTTTTATATGTCTCTTGGCCTTCTGTATGTCCTCTTTTAAAAAAGTGTCTATTTAGATCCTTTGTTCATTTTTTTGATTGGATTGTTTATCTTCCTTTTGTTAAGTTGTATAAGTTCCCTACAAATTTTGGAGATTAAAACCTTGTTGGATATAACATTGGCAAATATGTTCTCCCATGTTGTAATCCATATTCTTAAAAGACAACATAGCCCAGCTGACCTGGCTTAGTGGTTGAGCATCAACCTATGAATCAGGAGGTCACACACAGTTTTTTGATTCCTGGTCAGGGCACATGCCCAGGCTGGGAGCTCGATCCCCAGTAAGAGTCTTGCAGGAGGCAGCCAATCAATGATTCTCTCTCATCATTGGTGTTTCTATTTTTCTCTCCCTGTCCCTTCTTCTCTGAAATTAATCCTATATAATAAAAGCCTAATATGCTAAGTGTCCGGTCAACCGGTCGTCCGTTCAACCAATCAAAGCATAATATGCTAATGATATGCTAAGGCTGCTCAACTGCTCTCTATGATGTGCACTGACCACTGGGGGCAGACCGTCAACCGGTCAACCAGTTGCTATGATGTGCATTGACCACCAGAGCACGGATGCTCTGACTGGTAGGTTAGCTTGCTGCTGGGGTCCGGCTGATCGGGACTGAGCAAAATGGGCTGGACATGCCCTGGAGCCCTCCCGCGGTCCCTCCCCAGCTGGCCAAACTCCTGTGTCTCTCCCCGCCCTAATCGTGCACTGGTGGGTCCCTCAGTCTGGCCTGCGCCCTCTCACAATCCAGGGCCCCTTGGTGGATATCTGAGAGCTGCTTTTGGCCCAATCCCGCAGGCCAGGCCAAAGGACATTAGTTTCTGTTCATTATAATTATTGGTAGTAGAAAATCTGTCTAGTAACTTGACTTATATTTATAGCCTGATGGTGTGAAAAATGACTACTCTGAATCTCTTCAAATATTTGTTTATGACTCAGTGTGATCACTGAATATGCTTTATAATAATACTTACCTACAAGGGTCTCTTATCTTGACTTTCAGTTTTTAAAAATGTCTATTATACAGAGGTTGTGGTGGGAGAGGAAAGGTTATATAGATAATTTCCAAATCATGTTTAAAACAAAATGACCACAATGTTTAGATTATCCTGTGGCAATTAACCATGGTTTCAATAGGGATGTAGATCTAAGGGCTCTGTAATTATTCAGCTATTTCACACACCAGTCATTGACAAATGCTGCCTAATTCTAAACTCAGGAGATAACAGTAACTATGTAGCCAATTATTTATATATTGGCATTTTTATTTTTAATTAGAAAGAAAGGGTATTAAAGATATTAAGGAGAAACTATTTATGTCCTAGGTATTTTAAGAAATTAAAAAGATATGGTTTTACTAACAATGCTACCTTAGTTATGAAATATTTTAAAGTTTATGAAGTACTTCTATATACACTTGCTTTGCTTTAGCCTTCCACTAGAGTTCAAAGTTTTACTAAATAGTTTAGCAATGAGTAGTCCCCACCCCCGCAAAAAAAAAAGGGAAACACTTTTATATATTTTAGCAGTTACAATCAAGGAAAAACTTATCAGTGTCTTTCAAATACAATCCAATCTTTGAATTAACATTTTGCCCTCTTCTAGTTGCTAGAACCTGTCTGTCACCAGCTCTTTGAATTCTATCGCAGTGGAGAGGAACAGTTACTTCGATTTACACTGCAGTTTCTTCCAGAACTGATTTGGTGCTACCTTGCCGTCTCAGCCAGCAGAAATGTGCACAGCAGTGGATGCATTGAAGCTCTTCTTCTAGGGGTTTACAATTTGGTTTGTATTTAATGTGGTTAACAAAATGCATAACATTTTCAGCAAAAGCAAGTAGCAACTACTTTTCATGTTTGTAAAGCTAATATTTGTTTTTTTGTACAACAAATGATTCAGCTCATTCTTCCAAACATAACTTTATGAGGTTGAGGTCTATATGGGCATAAGGTACACAACTGTTTAGATAAATTAATGTGTGTGTGTGTATATGTATGTATATATATGTATGTATGTGTGTGTATGTGTATGTATATGTATATATATATATAAAAGGCTAATATGCAAAGTGTCCCTGCGGGAGTTCGATCAGGAGTTCAATCACTTGCTATGACGTACGCTGACCACCAGGCCTAGGGACCCTACCTGTGCACGAATATTGTGCACCGGGCCTCTAGTTATGTAAATAACTCTTTTGGGATTGACTGAAGACTGAAAATAAGACCATTTCTTTTGTAGACATATCTGAAAATATCATTATTGAATTTAAAAGTTTTTAAACCTAAAACTCATTGTCTATAAATTGTTTGTGACCTTCACAAAAAGCTTCGGAGAAAAAATTTAGTCTAACATCTACCACTAATAGTTCTGTAAAATTTGGACTGTCTCCAGAGTTTATAACATTGATTTAACATATAGTTTGAATTACTAATAGTGTTTTTATATTAATTAGTATGACATTCTAGATACTTAAGGTTTCTACTTTTTAAAATGGAAAAAAGTAAGAACTTTTTTTTGACATATTTCATAACTGTGTCAATTGATTTAGAAAATGTAACTTTTTACATGAAAAAAATAATGACTATTAAGACTATATTTATATGTCAGCCACCCTTAAAATTGTTACTTATATATAATTTTTTATGTTACTTATATTTTAAAAGGAGAAAGATTTATGCGATCCGAAGAGAAACCAGAGTATTATATTACTATATTTCAAAAGTGGAAGGTTAACTCCAAGTATTTCTGAATAGTTTATGATGGATTATCATAATTTAAGATTTCAGTTGACTTTAAAATTCTTCTCAGGTCATACTTTAGAATAACAATTTAAATTTAACTTTTAAATTTATGTGCAAAACACAAATATTTTAATATACTTTCTTTTACTTTTGTAGGAAATAGTTGACAAACAGGGACATAGCAAAGTATTGAGTTTTACGATTCCATCTTTATCCAAGCCATCTGTATATCATGAAGTAAGTGACATTTTATCAAAGTATGCTTATTATTGCTAAGATTTGAAGTTGCTATAAATTGTGGTCTGGTTATTGAGACAAAATTTTTGATCAATTTATTAGTATTGTAAGTATAAAAGACTGAAGTATTTGCTGTTTTCAAATTTGAAATAAGAACTCAAAATCATTAAACTCTAAAATCTGATTCTTAAGAAATCTAAAGTATTCATTTTGAAATATTCTTCTCTTCTTCTAATGGATAAGACTAGTCTATTTTTTTGGTAGCAATTATGTATTTTCTTGGCAGAATTTTTGAAGTTTAACTATTATTCCTATTTGTAGTTTGGTTGTTAGTTATTTTTTTAAAAAAAATATGTATTTTATTGATTTTTTACAGAGAGGAAGGGAGAAGGATAGAGAGTTAGAAACATCGATCAGCTGCCTCCTGCACACTCCCCACTGGGGATGTGCCCGCAACCAAGGCACATGCCCTTGACCGGAATCAAACCTGGGACCCTTGAGTCCGCAGGCTGACGCTCTATCCACTGAGCCAAATCGGTTAGGGCAGTTGTTAGTTATTCTTTAAGCAGAAAATTTAGTAGACAGTCTGAATATTTTTAAGATATATGATTTCATGGCAATTATTCTTAGTGGTATATGTATTCTAAGTATCACATTTTTAACAGAAGGGTTTTTATTTCTTTATTCAAATCTCCTTTTTTTAGCCTTCCAGCATTGGGTCCATGGCTCTGACTGAGAGTGCACTATCCCAGCATGGTTTGTCAAAAGTTGTATACAGTGGACCTCACCCCCAAAGGGAGATGCTGACAGCACAGAATAGGTATGCTGTAGAGACATAACCTACACTGCTACCGCACTGATTAAAAACATTATTTCAGTAGGCTTATAAATAATGTTTAATGAGTTGTGTATAACAATTTTTTAAAAATAGAGTCATTGTACAAGAGAAAAAACATAGTCCCGATTTGCCACTTATACTTTGCTTTAGATGTCATTGGAAACATCGAATTTTAAGATAATTTTCATGTGACTGTTACTTGGGAAGTCTTTTTTCTTTTTGGAGTTCTGTATTATTATTGTTGTGATTATTTTGTATAGGTTTATTCTGTAACATACCTCTCCCCAATGCCTGCTTAATTTAATTATGGTTGACTTAAAATTTTAAAGATTTGTAAATATTCTTTTGGTTTATCTTTAGGTTTGAAGTGTTGACATTCCTTTTGTTGTGTTACAATGCTGCCTTAACCTATATGCCCAGTGTTTCTCTTCAATCATTGTGTCAGATTTGTTCAAGGTAAATTAAAATTTAAATGTTTTTAATATTGAAATATATGAATCTAGGATTGCTAGTTTGTTATATATCTAAGT